AAAAAAAAAAAAAAAAAAAAATCGATTGCTGCACTGCTTCAGGATTTCCCTAATTCTACATTATATCATATTATTCTATGCAATACCCATAATAAATTGAATTAAGGTAAATCAAAGAATGCTAAACGTGCAAGCATTCAAGTATATTACGGTATATTAAAGAATGCTAAACTGAATTAAGGTACATTACTTGCAAGCATTCAGGCATTCACAGTTTTCTTAACGCAATAAATCAACAAAACGTAAATCAAAGAATGCTAAACTGAATTAAGTTATATTACTTGCACTATAAATAACAAAACGCAGCAAATTAATTTAACTACCTGTGGTTCAAGAAAAACTGCAATTTTTGGAGTTGTTTTGAGCAATTTCTCTGCAAAACGCAACAAATTTTTTTAAATGATTTTTCGGCTGTTTTGAGCAATGAGAGATGATTATGTTCCTTAGCGAGATTGAGCAATTTTTGAGCAAAAATTGTTTTTCAAATGATTTTCGTAGCAATTTTTTTCAGACGATGATAGTACCAAATTTTAGATATGTTTTGTTTACGGCTGTTTTGGTTTTTTTTTTTTTTTGTTTAAATTTGAAAAAGGTAGCCATGGTTTGTCTTTTATTTTATTTGTTAATAAAATACTTTCAGTCCTGAAAAGAAAAAGAGAAAAAAGATAATTGTTTATGTTCCACGTGACTTGCTTCTATTGGAGCACAGTGAAAGTGGGTACTACCTTACGGGTAGCGTTGAATGAACCACATTGAGGATAGTGGGTTTGAGTAAATTTGAGTTGGAATTGATTTTTTTTAGGAAAAGAAAAACGTGTATCCAAGCATGCTCTAAGTGGGCGTCTGAAGAAGAGAATAACAGTTCGTTGGGAAGCGCCAACGGCTAGATGAGCCTAATCTTCATTCAAGGTCTAGACGATTTGCAAGGCCTTGTGCAAAGAGCTTTGTTATAAAACTAGAGAAAATACGTAAAAAAAAAAAAAGTTTTGTTATGATTTTTTTATAACTTGATCTTTGAAATTTTTGATAGTATAATTATAAATATATAATTGTATTTGGGACAAAATAGTTATTCATTCTATATAATTAATACGGTTAGTGAAAAATAGTGGAGGATTATTGGTCTCATAGCATGACCCTTTGAATTACTATTTTCTAAATGTATTCAAGCTATTTGAAGAAAAATTTGCTTCGCATAAAAACTTCTTAATATCTGTTAGTGTATCTTTTGCTATCAAGTACTGCTACATTATGTCAGGAACACTCGGTGGGACAAAACTTGAGCATTATAGAATCATAAAGTTGTTCCTCTCAAATAGGGGCGGATGCAAAGCCCCTTCAGGTAGGGCCTAGGTCCCACATGAAATTTATATTTTAGAAAACAAGTGTAAAATAAGTAATTTTACAAAAAAAACATTTATAAATGAAGTTGTTTATTAAGTAGGTTTTCTTTTCTCCTTCTTTCATAATAAAAGTTTCTTATTGCAATGTCTTATTTATTCGTTGTATCTTTATAAAAATTTATCATGACTTTGCATCTACTATAATAATTATATAAAATTATTGCCAATAAAAATTTGTGTGAACAATGAAACCAACTAATAAGAGTTTGAATTACAATAAGTTATTTGATCCAACATATTGAAAAATATTATCGCTCTCCTACCTACGACGAGTATTAATAAGAATAACATACGTGGTATGACATTTGATTGATTAATCATGAGATCTTGGAATATGTGTACTTTAATTTGTTGGCAGTCGTTAGATGAAAAATTATTATAATAATAATTTATTTTAAGTCTTTGAAACGGATAATAATACTGAAATATGCAAATTGTATGGTGTTTTGATGTTTTATTTCAAAATAAAACTTTATATATAATGGTAATTTT